TTTCGCGAATTTTTCTGACTTGAATTAAATAACAACTATTTAGCCATTATTGCGCGAAAATTTATTTATCTACCTCGAGATCATTATTTTATAAGCACGTACTTGGGTTGATGTCAAAAGTAGTATAAAAGAGAGGAAAGAATGTTACCAGCTATTACTCTTAACTTTTATATTGAAATTTTAAAAAATATATATATAAATCTTAATTGAAAATCATTTCCTAATTGAACTGTTATAATGATATGCGTCTTTCAGGGATGGAACAACAGCTTAACCATTTTATAGCAGAAAAACCGTGTTTTGGAGCATGTAAATTTGGTTTTTGATTTCAAATAATTTTTATCATCGAATCTGCATATTCCTTGCAAAATGATATTATTGAACAAATTTGAGATTATAAATTTACATTTAATAACATAATTAACAGAATTCGAAAAAAAAAATCTTTATAAAGTAAAAAAGATGTAACGAAAACCCAACAAAGAATTAAATAAATATATAACTGAAAAACTTACTCAGTGAGTTTCAAGCAGAAGCAAAATCTAAAAGAGGCTTAAATCATATTTTAAAAAAATAATAAAAAATATGCCAATAATATTTTAAGAAACTAAATAAAATTCCTAATTTAAAAATGAAACTTTATTTACTATACTGTTTATATTTCCCATAAGAACAATCATCTATAATATATTACATCATCAAATATATTACATCATCAAATTCACTCTAGAAGCATTCTGGGGAGCGCGACGCCCAGTTAGCCCTTTGGATGAAATATTTCCTCATTACGTGTCCTTTGTTTCTGATTATACGGCCCAATATATTTTTTAAAAAAAGGCCAATTTTAGATGATTTTCTTCTTAACACAAATGATTTTTTTTTAAAAGTACTTTTTGCAGTTAAAAATCATTTTTTTAACACGATTTTTCAAATTTCAATATTTTTAATACAATCTTATTGCGACACGCAAATTTCGAAATTAAATTTAATATTTTTCTTTTTTTTTTGAAGTTTTACTTCTTATGCGACTTCCAACAATTTTGCGTTAAAAGTTTAACGCTACATTTTTATTTGCCGGGAAATCACGTGGTAGGATCCAGTTTTCATTCATTCATTTCCATATTGTTTTGGTTCTCACTAATAATAAAAGTATTGTTTTGCTATAAATATTTTTTTAGTTTGTTTTGATACACATTGATTCAATAGGGCAGTATTTTTTTATTTTCAAATTTAGTGGATAACAATTGTAAAAAATGAGCGAAAACAATCCCACCGATAATGCGACGGAATTAAGCAGGTTATGTGAAGGTACGTCTCTTGTGAATATCAATTGATTGTTAGGTTTTCTCTTTTGAAATTACATTATGACGCATTCACATACATTATTAATACAAATACATTTTCCATGGCGAGACGATGAGGCAACCACAAGCACTTCCACTGGTTCAAGAGGTCCACGAGGGAAAAATGCACANAAGAAGAAGTACACGGTCCCACCATTTTTCCATGAAATCCAGTATAACTCCAATTTATCTAATAAATTTTCAGTAATCCAGTATAACTCCAATTATTTAATAAATTGACGAACTAATAAACATTTAAGTTCGTCTTTACAATTTAAAATTCTATTTTTTTTTTCTTCTTTATAAACTCAATGCAATGATTAAAAAGTAACATACAATCTCACAGGAATAACACGCTCACTGTTGCATAAAAATAAGAAGTTTGCCTTTAAAAAGGTTTTTTTATGTAATTATTTTTTAAAAAAAGGGTTTAAACACGTGACACAAAGAGTGGAATCACCTCGTATGAGAGATGCGGCAAGAATTAAGAAGAAGTACACGGTCCCACCATTTTTCCATGAAATCCAGTATAACTCCAATTTATCTAATAAATTTTCAGTAATCCAGTATAACTCCAATTATTTAATAAATTGACGAACTAATAAACATTTAAGTTCGTCTTTACAATTTAAAATTCTATTTTTTTTTTCTTCTTTATAAACTCAATGCAATGATTAAAAAGTAACATACAATCTCACAGGAATAACACGCTCACTGTTGCATAAAAATAAGAAGTTTGCCTTTAAAAAGGTTTTTTTATGTAATTATTTTTTAAAAAAAGGGTTTAAACACGTGACACAAAGAGTGGAATCACCTCGTATGAGAGATGCGGCAAGAATTAAGAAGAAGTACACGGTCCCACCATTTTTCCATGAAATCCAGTATAACTCCAATTTATCTAATAAATTTTCAGTAATCCAGTATAACTCCAATTATTTAATAAATTGACGAACTAATAAACATTTAAGTTCGTCTTTACAATTTAAAATTCTATTTTTTTTTTCTTCTTTATAAACTCAATGCAATGATTAAAAAGTAACATACAATCTCACAGGAATAACACGCTCACTGTTGCATAAAAATAAGAAGTTTGCCTTTAAAAAGGTTTTTTTATGTAATTATTTTTTAAAAAAAGGGTTTAAACACGTGACACAAAGAGTGGAATCACCTCGTATGAGAGATGCGGCAAGAATTAAGAAGAAGTACACGGTCCCACCATTTTTCCATGAAATCCAGTATAACTCCAATTTATCTAATAAATTTTCAGTAATCCAGTATAACTCCAATTATTTAATAAATTGACGAACTAATAAACATTTAAGTTCGTCTTTACAATTTAAAATTCTATTTTTTTTTTCTTCTTTATAAACTCAATGCAATGATTAAAAAGTAACATACAATCTCACAGGAATAACACGCTCACTGTTGCATAAAAATAAGAAGTTTGCCTTTAAAAAGGTTTTTTTATGTAATTATTTTTTAAAAAAAGGGTTTAAACACGTGACACAAAGAGTGGAATCACCTCGTATGAGAGATGCGGCAAGAATTAAGAAGAAGTACACGGTCCCACCATTTTTCCATGAAATCCAGTATAACTCCAATTTATCTAATAAATTTTCAGTAATCCAGTATAACTCCAATTATTTAATAAATTGACGAACTAATAAACATTTAAGTTCGTCTTTACAATTTAAAATTCTATTTTTTTTTTCTTCTTTATAAACTCAATGCAATGATTAAAAAGTAACATACAATCTCACAGGAATAACACGCTCACTGTTGCATAAAAATAAGAAGTTTGCCTTTAAAAAGGTTTTTTTATGTAATTATTTTTTAAAAAAAGGGTTTAAACACGTGACACAAAGAGTGGAATCACCTCGTATGAGAGATGCGGCAAGAATTAAGAAGAAGTACACGGTCCCACCATTTTTCCATGAAATCCAGTATAACTCCAATTTATCTAATAAATTTTCAGTAATCCAGTATAACTCCAATTATTTAATAAATTGACGAACTAATAAACATTTAAGTTCGTCTTTACAATTTAAAATTCTATTTTTTTTTTCTTCTTTATAAACTCAATGCAATGATTAAAAAGTAACATACAATCTCACAGGAATAACACGCTCACTGTTGCATAAAAATAAGAAGTTTGCCTTTAAAAAGGTTTTTTTATGTAATTATTTTTTAAAAAAAGGGTTTAAACACGTGACACAAAGAGTGGAATCACCTCGTATGAGAGATGCGGCAAGAATTAAGAAGAAGTACACGGTCCCACCATTTTTCCATGAAATCCAGTATAACTCCAATTTATCTAATAAATTTGCAGTAATCCAGTATAACTCCAATTATTTAATAAATTGACGAACTAATAAACATTTAAGTTCGTCTTTACAATTTAAAATTCTATTTTTTTTTTCTTCTTTATAAACTCAATGCAATGATTAAAAAGTAACATACAATCTCACAGGAATAACACGCTCACTGTTGCATAAAAATAAGAAGTTTGCCTTTAAAAAGGTTTTTTTATGTAATTATTTTTTAAAAAAAGGGTTTAAACACGTGACACAAAGAGTGGAATCACCTCGTATGAGAGATGCGGCAAGAATTAAGAAGAAGTACACGGTCCCACCATTTTTCCATGAAATCCAGTATAACTCCAATTTATCTAATAAATTTGCAGTAATCCAGTATAACTCCAATTATTTAATAAATTGACGAACTAATAAACATTTAAGTTCGTCTTTACAATTTAAAATTCTATTTTTTTTTCTTCTTTATAAACTCAATGCAATGATTAAAAAGTAACATACAATCTCACAGGAATAACACGCACACTGTTGCATAAAAATAAGAAGTTTGCCTTTAAAAAGGTTTTTTTATGTAATTATTTTTTAAAAAAAGAGGGTTTAAACACGCGACACAACGTGCGGATTCACCTCGCATGAAAGATGCGACAAGAATTTAAAAGAAGCACACGATCCCACCATTTTTCTATTGCATCCTGTATAATTCCAATTTATCTAATAAATTAGCATTTTTTTAAAGAAATAATATTCCTGCGTATCATGTGAGGATATAAACATTTAAATTTGTCTTTACAATTAAAAATTCTATTTTTTTTTCTTCTTTATTAACTCAATGCAATGATTAAAAAATAACATACAATCTCATGGAAATAACACTCACGCTATTGCATAAGAATAAAAAGTTTGCTTTTAAAAATGCTTTTTTATATAATGATTTTTTTTTTAAAAAAAAAAGGGCTTAAGCACGTGACACAAAGTGCGGATTCACCTCGTATGAGAGATGCGGCGAAAATTAAAAAGAATTAAAGAGAAACGCACGATCCCACCAGTTTTCCATGGCAACCAGCATTACTCAAATTTATTTAATGAATTTGCATTTAAAAAAAAATCACTTTTTGCCTGTCACATGAGAATTAGACCTTTAAGTTTGTCTTTACAATTTCAAAAACTCGATTTTTTTTCTTTCTTCTTTATAAACTTAATAATATGATTAAAAAGTAACATACAATCTCATGGGAATAACCCGCACTGTTGCATAAAAATAAAAAGTTTGCTTTTAAGAATGCTTTTTTTCATATAATGATTAAAAAAAAAGGCTTTAAACACGTGAGAGAAAGTGGGGACTCACCTCGTATGAGAGATGCGGCAAGAAGCAGCAACAGTTGAAGCAGGGGAGGCATCCGACGTCCGTAGCTGGCAATCGTCGGAACTGCTCTGTCTCTCTCCCCTACAATATCGCCTGCTCCCCCATCGCTACTCACCATCCCCCAACCCCCACTCTACAACTTTCTGTGATAATGTATTCGAAAAACGTCGGACTTTAACAGTCACCGTTGTTGATTTTAGTATTTCATAGTGAATGGTAAAGAAATAAGTTCATTAATGGGCGAACCATCGACCATGGGCGAATGTTATACAGGTGAAAAAGCTCTACACGATACAAATCAGCTGTTCACAGTAACTTTCAAGTCTACAATACAAATTCATAAGACCGGGATAGCCTGGTCGGTAGGGCACTGGGCCCATCTCCAAGAGCTCGTGAGTTCGATCACCGTCAGCCGAAGACTCCCCGTGCAGTAAATGGTGACTGATGCACGTTAAATCTGTCGAATCACAAAGTCCTCCATGTTCCAGTAACAAATCAATACCTCTGGGGATACTGATCCAGGAGTTTCCTTGTCTTCTGGATTGGTTCAAAATTACAAGGCAACGGAGTTAAACATTAGTAGTCGTAAACGCAAAATTGGGTTTCTGTTCAACGATGGATAAAATAAAATAAATACAAATTCAAGGGCCGTGGAGGCTCAGGGGATAGAGCGTTGGCCTTCCAATGCGGCGAACCGGGTTCGAATCCCAGTGGATACGAATTCAGCATCCGGCTTGCACCGACCACAGTGCTGACGTGAAATATCCTCAGTGGTAGACGGATCATGGGTTAGAGTCCACTTGCCGTCAGCTGACCATGGGAGGATCTCGTGGTCTTCCTCTTCATGTAAAGCAAATGCGGGTTAACTCCATCAAAAAGTCCTCCACGAAGGCAAATTTCTCCCTATACTTGATCCAGGAGTTCCCTTGTCTTCTAAATTAGATTCAAAATTACAAGGCTACGGAGTTGAACATTAGTAGTCGTAAACCCAAAAATTGGGTCGGCTGTTCAACGGCGGATATATATAAAAAGAAAATACAAACTCATGCAATGGCTCAGGGGATAGAGGGTTCGCCTTCCAATGAGGTGAACCGGGGTTCGATCTCGGCGATGGCTGGTCGATACGAATTCCATATCCGGCTTGCACCGATCACAATGCGACTNCCTTGTCTTCTGTATTGGGTTCAAAATTACAAGGCAACGGAGTTGAACATTAGTTGTCGTAAACGCAAAATTGGGTCGGCTGTTCAACGACGAATATATATAAAAAGAAAATACAAATTAAAGGAGTCGCAATGACTCAGGGGATAGAGGGTTCGATCTCGGCGATGGCTGGTCGATACGAATTCCCCATCCGGCTTGCACCGATCACAATCTGACTTAAAATATCTTCAGTGGTAGACGGATCATGGGTTAGAGTCCCCTTGCCGTCAGGCTAACCGTGGGAGATTATCGAGGTCTTCCTCTCCATGTAACGCAAATGCAGGTTAGATCCATCAAAAAGTCCTCTACGAAGGCAAATTTCTACCAATATTTGATCCAGGAGTTCTCTTGTCTTCTGGATTGGGTTCAAAATTACAAGGCTACATAGTTGAAACCCAAAAATTTGATCGGCTGTTCAACGACGGTTATAAAAAAAATATACAAAGACAAAACCATAAATTAAGAGGATACCATACCCCGGAAGAAAGTTTCTGTCGCGAATTGTCTTTCTCCTTTTTTACTAATTTAAAAGAAGATTAAGAGATTGTTATTTTTTTTGGGGGGGGAGGGGGTTATTAAACGAAAGAAAGGGAGAATAAACATTTTAACAGTTTGTGTAATTTCATTAAAATTTAGAATCATATATATTTTATATTCATTTTTACAATATTGTTTGCTGAAATTATTCTTTTGTTAAATTTATTATATTCAATAAAATATTCTGTAAAAAATTCTCAAATGTGAAGCATACTTAAATTTTATTGAAATTGAACTTTATTTTTAAATGTGTGTAAAAGTCACGTTTTATTCTTCTAAATCAGTGGTTACCAGCCGGCGGGCCGCACCCCCATGAAGCCTTTTTTTGTGGCCCGCGAACTTAAATATATTTGTTGTCATTTTTCTGTGGACAATTTTCGTAAAAAATCTACATGGGTTCAAAATACTTTTCTTTCTTTAAAAAAAAGAAAAAATTCTTCATTTCTGTGAAATTTAACATACCAACAGTGCAAAAAAATTTATTTCTCAGGTTTTGCATCCAAGATAACATTTATTCAAGAAAATATTTATTATTATTTGTAATTCAATACTTTTGTTTTGAAAAAATTAATAAGAATGTGACAGTAATATTTAATGTTTCTTCAAACAATATAAAATTTTGACGAAGTTGCGGCCTGCCATTTGACTGATGTTTTTAATAGTGGCCCCCAGTCTCATGTAATTTGGAAACCCGTGTTCTAAATGTTTCACTTAAGCTGGATATTTATCTTATTAAAAAAATATTTCCTAATAAAATAATATAGAATAACAGATTTCATAATAAAAAGTCGTCGATTGGAACGCCCTTTTTGACATTCTGTGTGCTCCCCCCCCCCTCTGACCCCAGTTAGCAATTATTTGTTGATGTGCTCTCACTAAGTCGCTTTCGAATACTTAAGATCAGAATCTTCCAATCTACATTGCGATCACTTTCTGACTAGCTAGAGTAATCCAACTTCAACCGGAGATCTGGTAACAATACAAACTGTATTTATTTCCTTAATTTTGTATGCCTAAATAGGTTCCATTTTATCTCTCCTTGAAATTTTTACCGCTTTTCAAACTAAACAAACTTATAGGCAGAACTAAAAAGAAGAAAATTAAAATAAAGATTTTAAAAACTACGTTTTTCAAATGAACTATAAAAATGAAACATCATTTTAGGGAGTATCACTTTTATCGCCACTAAAAATTTCATTGACGTTCTTTGAAAATGATTTCTTTTTCAATGTGGCATGAAAATATATATTATTAGTCCACTTGAAAAACACAGTATTTCATTATAGGCTTAAACCACAGCGTCGATTACATTAATCAGTAAGAACTGTAATTGATTACAGATAATTATTGCCATGTAATCAATTACTTGTAATCACGATTACATGTAATTATGATATCATGTAATCGCATATTTTGATTACTCGTAATCATAATTACCCGTAATTGCTTTTGTTGTGATTACTTGTAATCGCACATACTTGGAATAACGATTACAGTTATTATCAAACTTTTAGTGAATTTTAATCAAGGTTATAAATAATTGATTAATGTAATCTTGATTACAAATAGTTGATTACTGTAATCAAAAAATTTAATCGATTACATTTTTGCCCAACTCTGCAAATAAACTATGTGCATATGCTTTTGTTGTCATTACTTGGAATCGCACTTACTTGGAATCACGATTACAGTTATAATCAAACTTTTAGTAAATTTTAATCAAGGTTATAAATAATTGATTAATGTAATCATGATTACAAATAGTTGATTACTGTAATCAAAAAATGCAATCGATTACATTTTTGCCCAACTCTGCAAATAAACTATGTGCATATGATTTTGTTGTCATTACTTGGAATCGCACTTACTTGGAATCACGATTACAGTTATAATCAAACTTTTAGTGAATTTTAATCAAGATTACAAGTAATTGATAAATGTAATCCTGTAATCATAATTACAAATAGTTTATTACTATAATCAAAAAATGCAATCGCTTACATTTTTGCCCAACCCTGTAAATAAATTATGTGCACATCATGGAGGTTCTTATTTTTCAAAAAAAAAAAAAAAACCTTTATAAACAAAGATTTAAGTTACCCTTATAAAAATTTCTTCCATGCAGTTGGGGTGCATATTTAATGCATTTCGAGTAATCTAGTTTGTAGTCCAGCAATTTTTTTTTCCATCAGAAGATTTTTTTTCATTACAGTTCATAAAAAGCTTTGTTATAAATTTATACCTGAATGAAGGGAAAGGGGGGGGGGGGAGAGAATAGAATTTTTTCTAGAATTGTTTTTCCCATGTATGTTTTCATGGTGAATTGAATCAAGCTAATACCGAGACGATCATGTGGACGATCGGACAGCTAGTTTAAAAGTTCGTGTTTTAAATACAAAAAGTGCTTGTACTCATTTACGCATTTGATTATGCTAATTATACAAGTGAGACATTGTTTCCTTCGCATTTTTTCACGCGCTGAATCGAATGACCAAAGTCATTAGAAATAACAGTTCGAAAATTGGAAATTGTATGAATAAAAAGTACTTCTTTTTACACGCATACACTTTACATTGCTATCCAAGAACTATTTTCCGATGGGATTTTTCATGCTCAATTGTATAAGATAAAATGAATTGTGAGGAAGTCATAAGAATTTTGTTTATACATGTACACTTATTTACGCATCTTGCATTGCTGTACAGGCATGTGAGGTATTGTTTGCTATGCATTTTTTACAGCTTAATCGAATGAGACTAAACACGAATCAAAAGCACTAATATTTCAATAGGTGGGAATGGATATATTGGTTTAAAAAGTACTATTTTTGAATTCAATTTATTATGGAAAAAAAACCCATAAAACTTAACAATTACTCTCATACAATCCTGTTTTGTCTCATTCTATTCAAATTGAAAAAATACACAAAAAACAAAAACAAAAAAATACATTAAAAATACATTATTGAAAAAAATACATTATTTGCCAGCCTAGAAGAAGTTCAATTCTCCTCAACCCCCCCCCCCATTTCCCTCAAAAAACGTGGAAATGCCGTGTTGTCTTAGGGGATCGAGTGCTCACCTTCCAATGAAGAAACCGGGTTCGAATCCCAGCGATGGCTGGGTCGATCCGAATTCCACACCCGGCTCGCCCCGACCACAGTGCTGTTGTAAAATATCCTCAATGGTAGACGAATCATGGGTTAGAGTCCCCTAGACGTCAGACTATCCGTGGGAGGTTTTCATAGTTTTCCTCTCCATGTAACGCAAATGTAGGTTAGTTCCATCAAAAAATTCTCCACGAAGGCAAATTTACCCCAATACTT